CTTCTTGGCTTTAGGTTTGGCTGCCTTCTTAGCCGGAGACTTGTTGGCAGCTGGAGCCTTCTTGACCAGCTTCTTGGGGCTCTTGGTGGTCTTCTTGGGGCTTTTGGCTGTCTTCTTGGCCGCTGCTGCTGCGGGCTTCTTGACCTTCTTGGGGGACTTCTTAGCGGCCGCGGGCTTCTTGGCAGCTGCTGCCGGCTTCTTGGGCTTCTTGGCCGCTGCGGGTTTCTTGGCGGCGGGCTTCTTGGCTTTAGGAGCGGCGGGTTTCTTGGCCTTGCTGTCGGCCTGCTTGTTCATCTTGAAGGAGCCGGACGCGCCGATGCCCTTGGTCTGGACCAGGGTCCCCTTGGTSACCAGGCTCTTGATGGCGGTCTTGACGCGGGCCTTGTTCTTGTCCACATCGTAGCCTCCGGCGGCCAGAGTCTTCTTGAGGGCGGCAGCGGACACGCCGCTGCGCTCCTTGGAGGCGGCCACAGCCTTCACGATCAGCTCGGACACGCTGGGACCGGCCTTCTTCGGCTTCGTGCTCTTCTTCTTCGCTGCTTTGGCCGGAGCGGGAGCTGGAGCTACTTCTGCCATTTTCCTCTTCTGTGTTTTTCYCTCTGCTTTCTAGTGAACGAGTCAGACTGGAGTCTGGAAGCTCCGAGCAGCGGGCTGCACTTAAACACACCATGAGAACCGTGGAGACTCMACTCCTCACAGCAACATGGACGGCTCGTGTTTGTGTTTTCTGCTCCACAGAAAAGGGAAAAAACACGCGTGTGGGAGCAGCGCTGCGGGCTGACAGTGACATGGATCCACAGAGGACCTGTGTCTCTTCGTCTTCAGCTCTGATTCTCTCTGATTTTAGTTTTGAAGCCTTCAAAACTTCACAGAATCGACGCGTATTTCACCGCTCATCGGTGGCGTTTCCGTCTGWTTCACTCACAAAAATCATTTMACGCACAACAAAGTTYAACCCAAACGCKTTTCTTCGTTGACTCGCGTGTTTGTTCAGATACTAAAAACAAAAACAGTCATTTAATTTCGCACATTTAACCGTAAAGTCTGGATATTGYGGAGGCAGCAAACACAGCCGGGTGGAGGCTCCTGGCGCAGCAGCTTCCTGTTGAAGCTGACCTCTGGAAATCAAACCTGTTTCAGACTTTAACAAYAAACAAAACCTTTTCTGGATTCTCTTGGTTTCACACATTATGATACTTGTACAATGAATTTGATACTGAATGAGCAGAAAAACGACAGCTGTGGTCAGCAGAACTGATTATTATGGAACTGAAGTCAAATGTTTGTTTTGACATTTTCAGACGATTTTTCTTAAAATACTTTTAGCATTTTGCATAAATCTGTGTAGATATATTTCACCTTTAACCCGAACTAGAATATTTTGATTCAGTCCTGTGATTTTATATTATAATCAAAGTGTTTGCATCAAATAAAGAACAGAAGGGAGAGGAAGTTGTGGTCCCATTTTTAAAACA